GCGGAAGGCAGCGTTGTGTCGGACCCCCTTTCCTTGCTCAAGTCGGAGGGGCTCAAATTATCGTCGATTCGGGGGCCTGGTGTTGGGGCTTCCTCGTCGCTTGAGAGGCTGGATCCGCTCCCTCCCATTGGCGCGCAGACGCTTCGGGACATCTCGCGCTCCTACAAGTCTGCGTCGGCTGTCTCGGTTGACGGCTGTCATTGCAAGCATTTCTCTTTGCTGTCGGACGAAGGCCTCGCCTGTCTCAGCAGTATCCTGGGAGTTGTTGAAGCCACTGGCGTTCCTCCCCCCCCCCCCCCCGATCTCGGTGGCGCCCGTGGCTTTGCCCCCCAAGCCCGCGGGGGGGTACAGGCCCATCGGGGTCTTCTGCTCCTGCTTCAGAGTCCGGGGGCGCTGCAGGCGCCCCTGGGCCCTGAACTGGGAGCTCGACCACCCTCGCGAGTATTGGGCTGCGGGCCAATTCAGGGGGGCCTCCGACGCTGCGTGACGCCAGTCGGTCACGGCCGAAAGCGGAGCGTCCAGAGGAGCGGCCAGCTGCTCCATCTTTTTTGATATTGCCAAGTTCTATGAGAACATTAACCTTGATTTGTTAGAGCGCAGGTGTAGGCAGCATCACTTCCCGATGGTTATCGCTCGGGTGTGTTTGTACGCTTACAGAGTCGGCAGGTTCCTCAGCCTAGGCGGTTGGTTGGAAGGCCCCTACTTCTGCGCGAATGGCGTGATAGCTGGCTGTTCGATGGCCACGGCTTTGATACGTGTGTATTGTCTTGAAGGGTATGACAGCATTCCCCTGCCCCCAGCGACGTCGTTGGACGTCGCTATCGATGACCAAGGCCTTTCTTCGACGGGTCGTCCCAGGGCTTTTGTGAACTCAGTGGTGTTGGGAGCCCTCGCCCTCGATAAGACCGCTATCGTGGCTAGCTCTAAGTTGGTTGGCACCCAGGTCCTTCACAGTTTGCGTAACTTGTGCAACCGCTGCTCTGGGACGGCTGTCAATCTCGGGGTTGATTTCACGGCTGGCCATGCTGTGCGCGCAGCGGGCCGTTCGGCCAAGCTGAAGGCGAGGATCGCCAAGTCAGGCAGAACAGCGCGTCGTCTGGCGCGGCAGGAGAAGGCCGTCAGCAGGCACACCGCCCTGAAGGTCTTCTCGGCGGGCCCCCTAGTTGGGGCCTCTTATGGAGCTGAGGTCACTGGCATGAGCGACAACGACCTTATCCTGCTGCGCCGCCGCCTTTTTTCGGTCGTGCGACCACACAATCGGCTAAGGTCTTTGACGGTCAGCGCGATTCTGGACTACGACCCGACTTGGCGGGTGGCTACAGCACCAGTTCTCAGATGGAGTAAGGAAATATGGATTCGTCAAACCTCGGCCTACAGATGGGCCCTGCCCATGCCGGTTTTGAGGCGTGCGTGGCACGCGATTTGTCCCGTCCCCCCTGCAGCTGGAGGAGCGTTGCGGGTCCCATTTCTGCCATGCGGATGTCCCTCGTTCGCCTCGGATGGAGGATGGACGACTTTATGACCCTCGTCGACGACCTCGGGAGGTCGATCCCCTTTGGGCTTTTCTCTCCGTCTTTGGTCGGGTCCCTGGTCCGAGAAGGGTACCTTCGCATGCTGGAGAGGGATGCCGCGGATGCTAAGGGAATGAAGTCCCGTCTCTGTTTCGACGTGGTCATGGATGCCCTGTCGGTCCGCAGTCGGAAATTCACGCCTCTGCAAAAGGCTCGTATTCTGGCCTTCTCCACGGAAGCTATCACGACGGCGGCCCGAGCGGAATCCCTGGGTTACTTGATCGAGCCTGATTGTGTCCATTGTGGAGTCCGAGAAACCATCTTCCACCGTCTCTGGGAGTGCCCCTTTGGGCCTGTTGTCAAGGATCGCCGGGATCTTGTCGAGCCAGAGGTCATCGAAGCTGCGCTCTCAGCTAAGGCCTCTGGTGACCTGGACGAGTATTGCGTGTTCATTTCTGGAGCCTTTCGGCACCCCGCCGATTCGTATCCCAGGGCCCTCACTGAGCACGACGATGGCCCGACTCTGATCTGGCACCAGCGCCCTGAGTTTGGCCCCGATGGGGCGCCGGTTCATAATAGGCTTTGGGGAGACCTGTTTGTTGACGGCTCGTGTACTAGGCACACGGTTGGTAAGTTGTCTAGGGCTGCTAGCTCTGTCTGTATGATAGACAAGGCTGGCGACCTTATCGCCAAACTGCGTGCTCCTGTTTGGAGCCCGTACCCCCAGACCCCTCAAAGTGCTGAGTTTAGTGCCTTTACCTGGGCGAATGTAGTGGCCTACAATGTTTCGGAATGTTAGGTTTTTTCGGATTGCAGTAATGTGGTCAACACGGCCAGTAGGGACATTTCGGTGCAACTGTCCCCGAAGAGAATGTATGCTGGTGCTTTCTTGCAGTGCCATGCTCAGTGCTCGGGTCTTGCGTCTTGCTGTAAGGTTGCGGCCCACCTCGACAGAGAGGCCCCCGACATCTCTGCCTCAGAGCGCTGGCGTCGGTGTGGTAATCATCACGCTGACGTTGTCGCTAAGATGGCGGTTTTGCTTCACCCTAGGGACGAGGGCCTGCTTCAGGAGGCTCACAGATTGGTTGCTCGTGCTAAGGCTACGCTCCGTCTGGCTGCTAATATTCTGGTGCACTGGCCCCCCCTAGACCTTTCGGATGTGGAAAGAGTGCCTGACCTCCCGTCATCCCGTGTTCCGAAGGACGGGCATGTGTGGCAAGTGTGGGGAGGAGTCTGGAGATGCGCTCATTGCTTACGTGGGTGTCGGTCCGTGTTGAAGCCATCTCCAGGCTCCTGTCCCAGAGTTTCCCTGGTCCATGCCGCTCAACAGGATGCGCTAGGCCACCGTACCGTTGCGTTCCCGTGCTCGGAAGGTTCGGTGCTTTTTATCTGCCTTAAATGCAAGTGTTACACGTGCGGCGGACAGGTTAGAGGACTTTCCCTGAAGTGTCTCAAGCCTTCCCGTGCTGGCAAGTACGGGTGGGACTACGTGTGCAAAGGTTTCCACCCCCATTACAAGCAGCGCAAGGCTGGTGTGCGTGTTGACACTGAGGATCTCATCCAGTGTTTCAACGCTTCGGGCATGCTGGCCGAAGACGACGCTCTTGGCTCGTCAGCGGCTGCGCCTGTCGTTCCGTCGGCCCCGAGCGAGTCGTGCTCTAGACCGTCGCCCGAGTCGGGGGATGGAGTGGGGTGCCGTGCGCTCAGGGACGACCTTTGTGCTGCAGCCACAGGTTTTAGTGCTTTGCCGAGCCGTGGTGGCGCCAGCTCTGCGTCTGGTGCTGGAAGCACGGCCAGGCGGAGCAGATCGCGCACCAAACCATCTCCCTTGTCGGGGGATGGAGCAGGTTGCCTTTTGCCCGCCGACCCTTCTGTGGACGCAGAAGATGAAGCCGCTCGGTTCCTTTTCTCTCCCGAGGCTGAGAGAGCGGGCTCTCACGCCAGCGTGTCTCCAAGAGACACGCTGTGCAGGGTCCGCGGCTCCTGTGCCGCTGGGGAGGACGAGGCGCCGTTGCGGCCTGGTCCTGCTTTTTCAAACGGACCGAGCGATTCCGACTGAGCTCGGTCAGACCTTGCCTGCATTCCCTCTGCTGCAGGCGAGAGTGCGGGATTCCCCGCTCAGGAGGCACGGGCGTGGAGCCCCCAAAAAAGCCTCCTCCTCCTCCTCCTCCTCCTCCTCCTCCTCCTCCTCCTCCTCCTCCTCCTCCTCCTCCTCCTCCCTGCCTCCTCCTCCCTTCCTCCTCCTCCCTTCCTCCTCCTCCTCCTCCAAAGAACTAGCTCCCGTGGGGCTGCGGCTCGGCGCGCCGGCCCACCCGGAAGATGCAATGCAGTCCACCGGTGTTCCCCCCCAAGAGGGCCTCCAAGACGGCCGAGATGGCCTCCAAGACGGCCGAGATGGCCCCAGGAGCTGGAGGCCTGGAAATGGGCACCACCAACAACACAGGGGGCTGCCTCCACACGGGGAAAATGATCCTAGATTTCGGTGTTGGTGGTAATGTTTCGGTCACCTTGGAAGCCAGAATATTACCACCATCACCGAGATCGGGATCTTCTTCCTTCGGTGGAGGCACACCGCCGATATTGGTGTTGGTGTCAACCTCTAGGCCTGCGAAAGAGGGCTCAAGACAGCCCCAACATGGCCTCCAAGAGGGTCCCAAGATGCCCGCAAGACCGCCTGGATGGTCCAGGAGAACCCAAGACGGCCCAAGAAGCGCCCAGGAGGCCCCCAAGACGGCCCGAAGGAGCCCGAAGGATTTGGGCGGTTGCTTCAAACAGCCTTCCGACGGCCCAAGACAACCCAAGAGGCCCCCAAGATCGCCCAAAAGGCCTCCAAGATGGCCCCAGGACGGCCCAAGAGGCCCCCAAAACGGCCCCCAGAGGGCCCCAAGACGGTCCAACAGGCCTCCAAGACGCCCAAGATGGTTTTCAAGACGAACCTGAAGCGCCGCAAGAGGGCCACAAGACGGCTCCGAGAGGATCCCAAGACCGCTTCCGATGGCGTCAGACGGGCCAGGAACGCCGTAAGACGGCCTAAGAAGCCGCCAAGAAGCCCCGAGAGGCCCCCAAGAAGCCCAAGGAGGCACCCACGAGGCCTCCAGGAGGCTCCCAGGAAGCTCCCAGGAGGCCCTAAGAATGACGCAAAAAGCTCCCAAGAGGTCTCCTCATCCTTCTCCTCATCCTCGTCGTCCTCCCTCTCCTCATCCTCCTCTTCCTCCCCCACGTGTTCCCCGAAGGGCTTCCAGAACGGCTGGGGGAACGCATGGTTCAATAGCGTGGACAAGCTGTGCCCAAACGTTTGGCCACAGGCGTATCCTAAAAGGCAGGGGGCGGCGGTGATTCGCCGTAGACATCTTCGATACGGGGAGAGCTTGATAATCGCCACCCTGGGATAGCCAGCGACCGTCTAGGGCCATCCCGGGAGCGCCTGGAGCGGTCTCAGGTTGAATTCCGCCGGTAACATCTCGCACGCGCAGATCCCGGCATTGCAGCGATAAATGACGTTGGGCTCCAGCCTCGCCTCCCAAATCTTGCCGAGGAGTGCCAAAGCCAGATGCCACTGCTCGCCTTTCTCGCAGGCGCTGATCCCAGCGCTGAAGCTAACGACGTTGGGCTCAAACTTCGCCTCCCACATCTCGCCGAGCAGCGCCAAAGCCCGCTGCCACTGTTTGCCCTTCTCGCACGCGCTGATCCCAGCGTTGTAGCTGGTGATGCTGGGATCCAACTTCGCATCCGATATCTCGCCGAGCAGCGCCAGAGCCCGCTGCCACTGCTCGCCCTTAGCACACGCGCTGATCCCAGCGTTGTAGCTAATCACGTTGGGCTCCAGCTTCGCCTCCCACATCTCGCCGAGCAGCACCAGAGCCCGCTGCCACTGCTCGCCTTTTTCGCACGCGCTGATACCAGCGCTATAGCTTAATAGGGCGAACCTATGAACTACATCCACGAGGGCTTTCCGAGAAAGCTCGCGGGGTCCAGGCGGGGATGTCGACGAAATTCTTTCATGACAACGTTGGGAGTGTACTTTTCGGCGCCGTCTCCGCGCCCCTCTGGGACCAGAGCATGTTGGAGACTGCACTCCCTGGAGGTCCCCGGTGTATTCGCCTCACTTGGGCGGCAGCGGCGAAATATACCCTGGAGCTGCGAGGCAATAGAAATGGAATAAGCGCCCATGTTGTTGTTTATTCTTCCCTGGGCCCTCTGGGGAAAGCCTGGGGGGCCTTCTCAAATTTTGACGCTTGTGAGGACCTCTGCTTCCAGTTCATCCAGGACCCTCTTCGGAGCATCCAGCATGCTCTTCGGTGGCCTCTTGAAGGCTTTGTTGGGCTCATTATTGTGGGCCGTCTTGGAGTTCTCTGTGAGCCCTCTTGTGCAGCTCTTGGAGCAATTCTAGAATCCCCTTGGGGCTTCCTGTACCATCTTGGTGCATTCTTGGGCCGGCTTGGGGCGTTCTGGGACCTTGTTGGGGTCGTCTTGGGGCTCTCTTGGGGCTGTCTTCGGGGCCTCGTCGACCGTCTTGGAGTGTACTGGGAGGACCCCGGAGCCGTCTTGGTCTATGCTGGGCTCGGATTGGCGAGAATCACATCATTGCAAAACACACCGAAAAACGTTGTCTTTGGGGCCGCCTCAGGCCGCAGTCTGGGTCCTCCTGACCTGTCTTGGAAGCGTCCTGGCCTGTGGTCTGATCGTCTGGAAACACTTCTGGGCGTCTGGAAGCCGTCTTGGGGACGTCTTGGGTCGTCTTGGGGCCATCTTGGGGCTCTCTGCAGGAGCTCTGGGGTGTGCAAGGCCCGCCTGAAGGCCCGCCAGAAGTGCCCGCCGGGGCCCGCCAGGAGCGACCTTGGCGACTTGGCGCTGCCACCCTTCTGGCAGGGCTGAACCTAAACGGTGTTTTGATTTTTCGTTATGTTTTCGTTCTCCCTCGCTTTGGTCTCGAATCCGCCTTTACCGCAAGACGAAGTCGAAACGAAAACGGCCCACGAAATCGCCAAAAGCACCGTTTAGTTCCAGCCCTGCCCTTCTGGCACTCGCTGCCCCTGGCCAGCTAGGATAGATGACGTTGGGTTCCAGCCTCACCTCCCGAATCTCACTCAGCAGCGCCAAAGCCCGCTGCCACTGCTCTCCCTTCTCGCACGCACTGACTCCAGCGCTGTAGGTGACTAGGGCGAACCCGTGGACTTCGTCCACGACCAGCAGGTTTCCCTGGCGCGCCTCCACAGTGGGCCCCGCCCAGGAAAAAGTCACCCCGAAGCCTTCGGTGACTCTTTCCAGCCGCCTTTCCGAAGTTGGAAGGCGGGCGCTTCCTCCTCTTCGTCCGCCTTCCGCTCCACTCCGCCTGGAGCGTCACAGACGGCTATGATGGGTCTGCGGTGTGCCTCTCCCCGCTTGTCTGCTCCCGCTGGCTTGAACCATGTTGAAAATACCTGGGGCCTTGAAAAAAGTCACCCGGAGGGCTCTGGTGACTTTTTTCTGGTTGCCTTTTCGAAGCCTGATGGCGGGCGCTGCCTTCTCCTTGGGAACTGTTTGGAGGCCTCTCGGGGTTTCTTTTTGGCTTCCTGGGGGCCTCTTGGGGCCTTCTTGGGCGGTCTTGCGGCCTCCTGGGGTCCTCTTGGGGCTCTCTTGGGGCCGTCTTGGGCGCCTGTGGGGCCGTCTTAGGGCCATCTGAAGGCCCTCTTGGGCCATCTGTGGCCGGTCTTGGGACTGTCTGGGCGCCATGGGAGCCGTCATGGGGCCGTCTGGGGCCATCTTTTGAGAGTCCTTCGCTTTTGAGAGCCCCTGTGTGAAGGGCTGGTCACGTCACCGCTCGCTCTTGGGAGCTGTGCCTGGGAGAGCTCTCTACGCTGCGGCTCGCTCTTGGGAGCCTTGGTGAGAAGAGCTTTGTACTTCACCGATCGCTCTTTGAATGGGCGTCTCTGGGCCTGCTTGGTGGTCCTTGTGGGTGTCTTTTTCAAGCCATTCTGAAGCTTTTTGGGCTGCTCTGGGAGCATTTTGGGACGTCTTGGGGCCATTTTGGGCCGTCACGGGGCGTCCGGGAGGCCTTGGACCGTCTTGGAGCTCTCTTGAGGCTGCCTGAGGCCGTCTTGGGAGCCTCTTGGGGCCCCCTCGGAGCTCTCTTGGGGCCGTCTTGGGGTTCTGTGAGGCCGTTTCAAGGCTCTCTGGCGTCGTCTTGGAGCTCTTGTGGGCCGTCTTGGGGGCCCTCTTAGGGGTCGCTGGCGTCTTCTTGGGGCGATTTGGGAGGCCTCTCGGCGTGTCCTGGGCCGCTGAGGAGCACACAAGGCGGGCATGCTGAAAATATACGTTTTCCCATAGGAATTTGACGATTTGTGCCTCTTTGGCGTGCGCTCGGGGCCCTCTTGGGGCGTCTTTGCGGCCTCTTGGATCGTCGTGGAGCACCCCGGGAAGGTTTCGGGCCGTCGTGGGCAGTCTCGGGACCCACTGAGGCCGTCTTGGAGCGCTCTTGGACGGTCTGGGAACCCCTCTGGAGCGCCTCTGGGACCGGCCTGAGCGATTCGGCCCCGTGGTGGCGCTGTAAAGGGGCGATTTTGTGCACGTGAGGCCCTGGGCTTCTCGCACGCGCTTCCACCGGCCATGTAGGAGAGATGACGCTGGGCTGCAACGTCGCCTCCCGCATCTCGCCGAGCAGCGCCAAACCCCACTGCCACTGTTCGCCCTTCCCGCACGCGCTTATCCCAGCGTTGTAGCTGACTAGGGCTGACCTGTGGACTACCGTCCACGATTGCTAATGTATTGGGAGGGCGCATGCTGCTGCGTAGTGCTTCAGGGTGAGCTGGGTGCTCGATGATCCTGTCGGCGCCGAGAGCATCGTTTGCAGCAGCATCGGATATGGCATCATCGGCAGTAACCCGAGAGAGGTGGGTGGAGCGACGTGACTGGCAAACGACGGCAGCCACTGTGCAGCGGGAACCGTGGGCAACGAGGAGACGGAGGTCGAGGAAGGGAGCGTAACCTGTATGGAAAAACCATACCCCGCGCCTTCTGGAACACGCGCCGTGCGGGTGTAGTCCCAGAAAAAGCGTTCCGGGGCGTTGGCGGTTCGGTCTGAAAGGTTTTTCGGTCATCCCCTTCCAGCCCAAGATGGCCCCAAGAGGGCCCCAAGAATGCTCCGAAGGGTCCCCAAGACTGTTCCAGAGGGCCCCAAGAGGGCCCCAAGTGAGCCCCCAAGAGCTCCAGACGTTGGGGCAAGTCGGCTAGAGCTCTCAGGGGGCCCTCAGCCCCCATAGGACCCCCTCAGGAGGACCCAAGACTGCCCCAAGAGGGACCCAAGAGGGTTTGAAAAAGGCCCAACAACTTGTCACGAAAAGGGGCCGTCTTCGTTGTAGGCCCCTCTTGGGGCCCCAAGATGGCCCGAAGAGGGCCCCAAGAAAGCTCCAAAGGAGCCCCACGACGGTTCCAAGAGAGGAGGGAGTCCACCTGTGAGTAAAAAACAATACCCGCATCTCATGGGAAACCTCTTCCTCGGGAGGGCTTGCCAAAAATTCGTCCGGGCCCCCCCCCGCGGCACCCAGGGACGCTGTTTTCTGAGGCCTCTCTCGCACGCCGCGTGTCCCAGGAGGTGTGAGGTACGATGCGAGAGGTGTCCCAAGAGGTGTGGGGTGTGTGTTTTTCCCATCCGACGGGGCTTCAGTGAAATAGGAAATTTCAGGGCTTCCTGGGAGTCCACCCGGGCCAGGGGGGGCCGATTTCGGAAACCTTGGGTGCCGTGCTGGGTCAGATGGGGGGGGGGGTCCAGAGTTGGCCTTCTGGGGAGGCTTCTCGCGGGCCTCTCCGAGGCAGTTTCGAAGCCTTTTGGGGCCGTTTGGGGGCATCTTGGGGCCTCTTTTGGGCCTCGGGGGCCTCTTGGGGCCTCTTGGGGGCCTCTTGGGAGCCTCTTCGGGGCGTCTTGGGGCGAAAGGCTGGGATCTTGGGTTCGAGGTCCCCCTCTTGGGGCCGTCTTGGGGCCCTCTTGGGCTGTCTTGGGCGCGTCTTCGGCCGTCGTGGCGCCCTCTTGGGCCGTTTTGGGGGCCTCTTGGGAGCCTCTTGGGGCGGTCTTGGGGGCCTCTTGGACCGTCTTCAGGGCCATGAAAGCCGAGAAGCCGCATATGCTCGAAATGTACGTCTTCCTCCGGAAAATCTATGATTTCGGCCTGTTGGGGCTCTCCTGGGACGCCACTTGGGCGTCTCTTGGGCCGTCGTGGAGGCCTCTTGGGCCGTCTTGGGCTCTCTTGGGGCTCCCTGGAAGCCACCGTGGGCTCTCTGGGGGCCCTCGTGGAGCGTCCCCACGAGCGGAGCCGCCGAGGTGCCGCCCCCCAAGGCCCAGCGAGGGTGCCCCCCGGGGCCCTCCTCGCACGCGCAATGCCCGGTATTGTAGATTAGAAGTCTAGGGCGAGCCCGTGGATTTCGCCCACGACCTTCAGGTCCCCCTGTTGCGCCTCGCAGGCTCTGGAAACTTGTTCTGTTTATCTTGTAAAAACCTAAAGGCGGGCGCTGCCTTCTCCGCGGGATAATTTGGGAGCTTCTCGGAGCTTCTTTTCGGCCTCCCGGACGCCTCCTGCGGCGCCCCTGGGCGTCGTTCGGACTCCTGGGCGGCCTCTTGGGGCTCTCTTGGGCCGTCTTGGGTGCCGCTGGGGCCGTCTTGTGGCCGCCCGGGGCCGTCTTGGGTGCCTCTGCGGCCGTCTAAAGATCGTCTTGGCGCCGTCTTGGGCCGTCTTGGGCAGCTCTTGAGGCTGTCTTGGATGCCTCTTGGGCTGTCATGGGCGCCTCAGGAGCCGTCCAGATGCTGTGTTGGGCTGTCTTGGGACCCTCATGCGGCTGCCCTGAGGGGTCTTGATGCACTTCTTGGGAGGCTGTAAGGCCGTCGTGGAAACGTCGGAGACGAAAAGCACGGGAATTACAAAATGACAGTTTTCCCCAGGGCCCTAGGGATTGTGACGATTTCTTGTTCGGGCCCTCTCGGGGCCCTTCTCGGTGCCCCGTCGGGACGTTCCGGAGGCGTCTGAAGCCGTGCAGAAGGAACTTCAGGCGCCTTGGACGGTCTTGGGACCCCTTGGGGCCTTCTCGGGGGCCTCCGGGGGCGTCTCGGAGCGCTCTTTAGTCATCCTCGAAGTGCACCAGGGCCTGCTGGGTCTCGCAGGGGACCCCCCGTCGTCTCACACGCACCTGCCCCTGCATTGTAATAGAGGCTAGGTCTAACCCGTGGACTACGTCCACTTGCGGGGTGAAGCGTGTGGGGGCCCCTGGGGGTGTCATTACAACACGGGGTTCGACCCTCGCATTCGGCGCATGCCTCTGCGTGGTGTTGCTCGCTGCCGCTGCATGTTGTTGGCAATGCTTTCGACTGCTGCGTGTCGTTGTTGCTTGTGGCTGAAGGGTCCTGCTTGTGGCCAAGTCTGCTTGGTGCGTACTGCTGACCGCTACCTGCTGTTGCTGCTGCTGCTGTTGATGCTGAAGCTGATGCTGATGCTGCTGCTGCTGTTGCTGCTGCTGCTGCTGCTGCTGCTGCTGCTGCGCGCTGACGCTATTGTTGCCTGTTTCGTGTTTCGTGCTGCTGCCTTCGGGTAATGGGGGTGTTTTGGGCCGCCCCAGGATGATCTTGAGACACCTTGAGGCTGCATTTGGGCCAAGGCTGGAAACTAAGAAGCAACAGTGGGCCTTCGTTTCTAGCAATGTTCCATGGTGGCTGTGGCCGCCCGAGGAGGTCGGAAGATGCGCGCGGGCTGCATGGGCTAGGGAGAAGATCGAAGGCACTGCGGAGCATGCCCCCAATGGCCAGCCTGTCCGGAGCACTCTCAGAAAGAACTCCCGGGCGAGACGCCCATTCAAACCGGAGCCTTTGCAGAGGAGAGAAAATCAGAGGCGCATGGGCGCCTTATCTCCTGGGTGTCCGGCGCAGTCCCAGAGCTCCCTGAGAGAGAGAGAGACCTTCCCTCGGAAGCCATTTGGAGGCGGGTTTGGAATGTCTTGCGGCCTCTCGAAGGTCTCTTGTGATCTGATTTGGGCCCCTTATGAGGCCTCCTGGGGCGTCTGGGGGTCCTCTCGGGGGCCAGCTGGCGGTTTCTGGGGTCATCCAAGAGCGGAGGGCGCGACGTGTTACTTCGAATTTCCCCTTCGTGGGGCCCTCTTAGGAACGTCTTGGGCCGTCTGAGGGGCCTGTGGGGAGGTCTTGGGGCCCTCTTGGGCTGTCTGGGAGCTCTCTTGAGGGCCTCTTGGCCCATCTTGGCGCGAGCTTGGGAAACCCGGGGCTGGCTTGGAGCGTGGAGGCACCGAAAAGGCGTGAACGCTGAAACCATTCAAGACCCAAGGGAAACTATGATTCTGGCCTCCCCTCCTTGGGGGCCTCCTGGAGCCCTCTTGGGCCGTCTTCCAACAGTGTGAGGCCTTCTTGGGCGTCTGGGGGGCCTCTTGGGGGCCACTGGGGGTTTTTGGGATCATCCTGGAGCGGACGGCGCGACTACTTCGGATTTCCCCTCCTTTGGGGGCCGTCTTGGGCCGTCTTGGGGGCCTCTTGGGGGGTCTTGGGGCCCTCTTGGGCTGTCTGGGAGCTCTCTTTGGGGCCTCTAGGGCCATCTTGGCGCGGTCTCGGGAGACCCGGGGCTGGCTTGGAACGTAGGGGCACCGAAAAGGCGAAAACGCTGAAACCCTTCAAAACCCAAGGGAAACTATTATTTTGGCCTCTCGGGGCCCTTCTTGGGCCGTCTTCCCGCACTCTGGGGCCTTGTTTGGGGGCGTCTGGGAGGCCTCGAAGCGGCCAGCTGGCGGTTTCTGTGGTCATCCTGGAGCGGAGGGCGCATAGCGTAACATGATACTTTGAGTTTCCCGTCGCGGGGCGTTTTTGGGGCCGTCTTGGAGCGTGTTGGGGTCCTCTGGGGCCGTCTTGGGGCCTTTTTGGGTTGTCTGGAAGCTCTCTTGGAGGCCTTTGGGGCCACAGTGGCGCGATCTTGGGGGCTCTGTGGCCGGCTTGGCCTGCGGGCGCGGAAGCTCTGGGCTCACTCTGAATCGCAGGCATGTGGTCCGCCCGGCTGGAAATATTGTCGAAGGCTTTATCGACGTGCACTTTGGCTACATCTTGTCTCTGGCTTAATATCACGCCAACTCGCGCCCTCCAAGTGTGAGTTCTGGGGGGTCTGCCAGGCCCCTTGGGCTGGGTTATTCGCCACGACGGCGTGGGCCGCAACACGCTCAAGGGCCCCCAACGCGTCCTGCATCCTCCCTTCTTCCCTATTGCGCCCTTCACATAAGCGTCCCCTCCAACCCACTGAGAGGTGACAGAGCCTAGCTTGGCGCTTGCGTCAGTGCAAACGAAGTCGGGGAGGGTGAGTCACAAATTTGTCCTGGAGCTCCTCCCAATGCCTATCCAGAGCAGCGGCCGAATAGCCCGAATGCGGCGCGCGCACCACCGCAATGGTGACGTCGAGGCACGGCGCTTGCACATCGACAACCATCTTCCTGGAATATGAAGGGAGTACTCAGAAATCGGCAGGCCTGAGGCACGCGAGTCGTTCTTTGATCCAGGCGAAGGGAAGCGCGCAATCGGCCCAGAGCTCGCAACCCAACCCCTCCTCGCCCTTGCAAGATGAGATGGCGCAACAAGATCCAGATGTTAGGGCCCCACGCTTGGCGCGGGCCTCTTGAAGGCCAACGAAATCCACCTTCGTTAAGAGACTGCCTCTTGATGGCAGCGTTCTCGAGCGCCGTGCGCAAACTGCGCCTGCCTTCCCCTGCGGCCTCGGCGAGGGATCTAGCGCCGCGATGGGCAGCCCCCAAAAGCTGAACCTCCTGAATGCTAAACGGCACGTCAGTAACCAAAAAGCTCGGCCCTAGCGGTGCGACCAGGCACCGCGGGGAGCGGGCGGTAGGCTTGCGCATCAGGATGGCACTCTAGCCGCCAACCCCAGCCGCTGGCTCGATCGCAGGGCGCGATGTCAATCAGCACAGGGGGGAACGAAGCGAGGGGAAGGGAATCGGCGCAAGTCCCCTTAGCAACCACGTCAACGCATTCGCCCCATGGATGTTCATCGTGAGCTTTGACGCGCCGAAAATTGGCAGCTCTCCCACTCCTGCACCGACCCTAGAGAACGCTCAAAGACCAATAAATAATATTGCCAGCAACGGTCGTGGCGGGTCCGTTCCAACGATCAACTGCCGCGCTGGGGCCACTAGAAATGCCCGCGGGCGCAGTCTCAGCCTGACTCGCGACGTCAATCAAGGCCCACACGATGGCAACGCACTCCGAGCACGCGCTCGCGCTTCCGACCTGCGCGGCACAGGCGTCAAAGACCTTGCCAGCCAAGAAGCCTAGATACGCGGAGCCTCCCACATCTTCGCCTGGCTCGCCCAAACCCCACCCCCCTTTCCAGGCCCAGCTTTTTGGGCCCATCGGGGGCAGCGCCAGGCCCTGGGCCACAAGCCCCTACGGTTAGGACACATGCCATCGGCGAAACTGGCAACCTCCGGGAGGGCGGGAGGGGCGGCGGCGCGATTGCAAGGGGGGGAATATGCCCGCGCAGCTTAGACCCGATGTCTGGCACGACCTGAAGGAAGCAGCTGACAAGGCCAACTAAACCCCGACGCGCCCCCACCCTGGTCGGCCCCACCCGCGGCCCCCCCAACGGCCGCTTCACCTCCGGGGGCCCCCCCATGCCAAGGAGGGGGCGGCGACCGCGGGGGGGCAACGGGAACCGCGAAGAGCGAGGAAGCGAGGAGAGGCGGGGGCCCAGCCAGCGGCGGCGGCGGCCATGGGCCGACACGCCCAGCTTCGCCCCCGTTCGCCGCTGCGCCCCCCGCGGGGCCACGCGCACTGCATTCGTCGCAGTGCGACGCGCGATGGACACGGGCGGAGGCGAGAGGAGAGGAATCCAGATGCGGAGACCAGGCGCCGCAGTGCGCATGGGGCATCGAAAATGAAAGCGTCGCTGTTCAGAGACTCAGCAGTCGGCCCCCCGGTGGATGAAATCAGTTCAGGACTCCGATCATCAATGAGGCCCCTCCCGCCCGCATCGCTGCACTCGTCACAAAATTAGATTTGGTACTGATCTGTGGGCAAGTCCACCTGGCATTCGTCCTCGATGATCCTGCGACGCACTGGCCCATCGCTTACCTCGCCACGCCCAGTCACTAGACCCCTTCGCCCGTCTCGAAGCACGTCTCTGCCGGCGGCTTCGAGGGGGGTCTCGGCGATGGGCTCTCGGGCACTGGCGTCTCCTCTGCCAACTCCTCGCGTAGTCCAGGCGCTGAGAGGAAACGAGCTAGGGCCCGCGATGCACAAAGGCCAGCCGTCACTGAAACCAGGGGCCCTGCCACGACCTCCCTTTCCTCCTGATCCATGGTCTGGGTAGGCGATAGTACGTCTACGACTGGGATACGAGGCTGAATACAAGCTGGGATCGCGGGTGCGATCGGGAAGCTCAAAGAGGGCCCAGCGGAGCGCTGGCGCCCGTGACCGCCGCGGAGGAGCTGTTCCAGGCCCGTCATAGGTCTTACATTATCCTGCTGCGCGCCCTGAACCTGAGGAACCCCACCTTCCCCTTGCCTTCGACCTTGTCCATCCACTCCATGCTGGTTCCGCCCTCGCATGTGTGAATGCCCTTTCCCATTGTCTGACGCATGCCCCAGCGGCCACCCCGCCGCGCAACTCCAGGCTGGAGGCGAGGGGGAGCTTGGAGAAGACCACGCGAGGCCCTGCGGAGGTATACCCTGCTGAGGTACATCCTGCTGAGTTACTCCCTGTACCCCCTGCCGAGGTGCTCCCTGCTGAAGCACCCCCTGCTGAGGCAAGCCCTGCTGGGGTCTTGCCCGTACGCCCTGTGAGCCCTGAAGGGGTACACCCTGCTGAAGTGATCCCTGAGTTCCCTGAAACCCCTGCTGATGTCCTCCCTGTAGTCCCTGGCGGGGTCCCTGTAATCCCTGCTGAGGTCCCTGCTGATGTACTCCCTGTAGCCCGTGCTGGTGCACTCCCTGAACGTCCTGCTGAGGCACCCCATGCTGAGGTCATCCCTGTTGCTCCTGCCGCGGTACACCCTGCTGTGGTACTCCGTGGGCTCCTGACATGCGGTACATGTGCTGCCGCATCCGTTGCCTCTGAGCCATTTGCAACTGGGCCATCTGTGAGAGGTACTGCTCCATGTAATTCTGACGTTCGTTCACGGCGATCACAATACTCGCTAATCCTTCTTGCTATTTGATCCGGGCATAATGATTCCTTCCGCTGTTCACCGTGGTTTCTGTTGGAGCCGATGCGCTCTCTCCCCTTTGCACTGAGAAGCTTCTCCGCAATCCACTGCCTGCCAAGCCTCAGTGGTGCCATCTTCCGCGTCGCAATCGTCGCGCTCTCTTCTTTGAGCCCCCCCAGTTGGCCGACACAGTCCTTCAGCTGCCTGAGTTCCTCTTCTGCCTCGAGCTCCTGAAGTCGATGATGTTCTGTTTGGTGTTGACGAGCTCCATTCCCTCGAGCATAGCGTTGCATGTTGCCCTCGTCTCGTTGATTAGATTTAGCAATGGCTGAAAATAACATGATACAACATTTGAACATGGCGAAGTCGTCTAAAGCGAACGCATGTTCCCTGCCAACCGTGTTTTGCCGAGATCACTACATGCACTAGACGATGTGTTGTTCTTCGATGTCATCTCGGAACTCTTTGGGCAGTGTCTCGTCCTTGGGGAAATTATCGTGCTGCTGCGCTACGCTCGGATTGGCTGGAGCCGTTCTAGATACTAATTGACGAACCCCATGTCCAAGTATTTCCTCCTACCGCTCGAGGACTTGAAAACTTCTTCCTGCCAAGGTGGAGTCTGTTTGCCTGCGGGGGTCCTGCGCCTGGAGTGTGCTTCTGCTGAAACCAAGCGAGGCCACACCGAAACCACCTCTTCCACACTGGCATGTCCATGTCTGCCCTGCAGATATGTACGATGATGGGTCAGGAGCCTGTCACGTGCGCGACGAGATCGTTCCAAATCTCGAATTGCTTGGCGCTGCGTTCTCTGGCGCCAGTGCCAGGCTGGTTCTGTATCCCTGAACGGCATGGCTAATTCGCGGCTGATAGCCGCTGGGGCTGCCCGCGAGCAAAATCCTGTGAAAAACGCTGGGCCGCTGGTCCCCGCGGCCCTCACGGAGTCAAGCCCTCTCCTTCTCCTCCTCCTCCTCCTCCTCCTCCTCCTCCTCCTCCTCCTCCTCCTCCTCCTCCTCCTCCTCCTCATCATCATCATCATCATCATCATCATCATCATCATCATCATCATCATCATCATCATCATCATCATCATCATCATCATCATCATCATCATCATCATCATCATCATCATCATCATCATCATCATCATCATCATCATCATCATCCGCCTCTTTTTCCTCCTCCTCCTCCTCACTTTCCCACCAGGTGTCATCTCAGGGTTTCCTGGGAACTGGCGGGGCCATCCTGGAAGTCTGAGGGTCGTCTGGACGGAGCCATCTTGGGGCCAGAATTGGGCAGTCTAGGAGCAGTCTTGGAGACGTCTTGAGGCCAGAAGGGGCCACCTTGGGCTATCGCGAGGTCGTTTTGGAACATCCCGAAGGCTTTTGTGGGCTTCTAGTGCCCTCTTGGAGGCCTCTGGGGCCCGTCTCTAACCTAATTCAGGAAAAACGCTGGAATCTAACGACTTTTGCCTCTGGGGCGCTATGCAGAACAAGTGCGTGAGCCTCATGGAGGGGTCGTGGGCCGTCGCCCATGCCGCGGGGGACTCTGGAGACCGTCAGCACGAGCTCCTGGGGCGCTCCCTGGCAGCCCCACGGAGACCCAGCAACCACTTGGCCCAGAGACCCCTCCTGCACGCATGTGTCCAAGAATTGAGTAGATTATGATGACGTTAGGCTCCAGCTTGGCCTCCAACATCTCGCCGAGCAGCGCCATGGCCCGCTGCCACTGCTCGCCCTTCTCGCACGCGCTGATACTAGCGCTGTAGCTGACTAGTGTGAACCCGTGGAAAATCCACGGCCCGCAGGTCCAGGCGTTGGTCCCGAACTCGCACGTGTCGCCGAAGCCTCAAGTGACCCCCAGCAGGGCCCAGCACAGCCGCAGATGCCGCCCACGGGAGCCCAACGCGAGGTCCGAGACGGCCTCACACCCCCAAGATTGCCCCAAGCCGCCCCACGAGGCGCCCGACCCAAGAGGGCTATCGTGACCAGTTAAGGCTGGGCGTGGAGGTCTCAAAAAGCATCGGGTTTTCGCTTATCGCGCCCGGCCTCTCCGCGATTAGCAAAAATCCGAAGGTTCTGGCCATTCCACTGCGCGAGGATTGGCCCCCACACGTACCCCAAGGCCTTGGACACCGCCCAAGACGATCTGAGTTTCCCGAGGTTTCGGCCCCCCAGGGCCCTGCATCGATACAGCCAAGGGTGCGGGTGCTGGGATAAGTAGGGCCCCCGAACCGGCTGTAGTGGCCTGCGGGCAATCTCACCGCGGGCCTGGGTAATGGGCAAGAGATCTCGTGGATGTTGGTTGGGATCTCGTTGTTGGCCTCTCGGGAGCCTCTGGGAGACAGTTTGGGGGCTTCTTGGTAGCAGTTTGGGGGCGTCTTGGGGCCTCTTGGGTCCTCTTTTGGGGCCTCTGGGGAGCCTTTTGGGGCGCTTGGCGGCCTCTGGGGGGCCTCTTGGAGCCTCTTTGGGGCGTCCGGGGGCCTCCTGGGGAAGTCTTGGGAGCGTCCCGGCGTTTCTTTGGGGCGTCTTGGGGCTTCCTGGGGGCCTCTTGGAGTGGAGGCCTGGATTTTTCGGTTCCGGGTCCCTGTCTTGGGCCTCTCTTGGGGCCTTCTTGGGGCCCTCTTGGGCCGTCTTGGGCGACTCTTGGGCCGTCTTGGGGCCCTCTTGGGCCGTCTTGGGGCCGTCTTGAAGGCCTCTTGGGCCGTCTTGGAACGGTCTTGGGGGCCTCTTGAGCGGCCGTGGAGCGTCGGACAGCCGAAAAAGCGAGAAGGCCAGAAACATTGAAAAACAATGAAAATCAACGATTTTGGCTTCCGCTGCCCCTCTTGGAGGTGCACTTCGAGCGCTCTGGGGGCCTCGTGGAGGCGTCTCGGGCCGTCTTGAAGGCGTCTTGAAGCCATCGTAAGCGTCTCGAATACACTCTTAGACCGTCTTGGGCCGTCTTCGGGACCTCCTGAGGCCGTCTTGGGGCGATCTGGGAATCCTGGATCAGTCCGTGAGCGGTCCGGGGGCCTCCCAGGCCCGTCGGGCAGCGGCCCGGAGGCTCTCCGGGCGGCCCGCGAGCTCTCTGGGCGGCCCGGGGCGCTGCCACTGCTTGTACTTCTCGCGCGCGCTTCGCCCGGAATTGTAGTACAGATGATAGCTGACCAGGGCGAACCCCTGGACTACGACCACGATGGCTTTCCGAGAAAGCTCGCGGGGTCCAGGCGGAGATGTCGCCGAACGGCTCTCATGACAATGTTGGGCGACGTACTTTTCAGCGCCGTCTCCACGCGCCTCTGAGACCAAAATATGTTGAGGACTGCACCCCCTGGAGGTGTCTGGTGTATATATATCGCCTCACTTGGGCGGCAGCGGCGAAGGCTGCCCTTGAGCTGCGAGGTAGTACTAAGGGGAGTAAGCGTCCATGTTGCTGTATATTTTCCGGTGCCCTTTTGCAGCACAGACCTCGCCCCTGGACCCTCTGGGGTGTGCTTTTTGGGGCTTCTCTGATTTGTCAAGCCTGTGAAGCCCTCTGCCTCCAGTCACCGTTCGGTATTGGGACCCTTGGCGTGCAGATCTTCTGACGTCATCCGAACCTCTTGGGACCCCCTTCGGGACCACAAGCGCAACTCTTCGGGGCCTATGAAGGCTCCTGGAACTGAGGCTCTCGGAGCCTCCTTCGCTGTCTCGGGACACTCTTGGCTCTGGGGCTCCTTGGAGAGCACTCTTGCGCGGCGCCTCTTGCGAAGCCGTGAAAAAGTCCACAGCAGGCCAACGAAGCTGGTGATTGCACTGGGAGCGCGAGGGTGGGAATGCATGCGAAGAGAGCGTATCTTCGCCTGCGGAAGGCTTCCTCGGTGTCGCTGGGCCATCCTGGAGCCTTCTTCTGTTGGTCTACCCAGGGGGGCCTCCTGGAGATCTCAGGGATCCCGGGGAGTGCTCAGGGCCTCGGGCGGCGCAGACGAGCGAACGGCCACGCTCCCGTGGCAACCACCTCGGTAGACGGAGGCCAGCGGCGGAGGGCAGGCACCGCAGGCAGCGTCCTGGAGCCTTCTGGGGCATGTCTTGGGTCGGCCTCGGACAGGTTTGGGGCCGACCCTGAGCCGGGCTTGGGCCGGGGGGGTCGAGGGCTGAAGAATTCCAACGCCTGCTCTACAAGAAGCGCACGGCGCACACAGTTGCAGCACAGGTGACGCTGGGCTCCAACTTCGAAGTCCACATCTCGCTGAGCAACGCCAAAGCCCGCTGCCACTGCCTGCCCTTCTCACACGCGCTGATTCCAGCGTTGTACCCGACTAGGGCTGACCTGTGAACTACCGTCCCCGAATGCAAGTGGTCAGAGTGCCCTTGCTGCTGTTCATTGCTTCAGGGTGCGCTGTTTGCTTGATGATTCTGACAGCGTCCAAAGCAGCGCTAGCAGCATCAGCGGCAGCAGATCCAGGGGCATGGGCGGTAGCAACAGAAGCAGCTCATCCTCCTCCTCAGCCCTTTCTTCCTCCTCGTGCTTGGCTCGTCCTCGTCCTCCTCCTCCTTCTCATCCTCCTTCTCCTCCTCCTCCTCCTCCTCCTCCTCCTCGTGCTTGGCCTGTCCTCGCCCTTCGGCTCCTGCTGCTGCTTTCGCCTGAGCTTTCCTTACCATGTATGATCCTGAAGCTTAAAGATTGGCAACAGTTTCACCGATGAAAGGCGGGCCGCTGCCAAAATGTGGATCTCGCCTTAGCGCCGAGCACACTCGTCTTAAAACATTGCAACAAAAGCTTCACTGATTGATGGCGTTTCCTTTAATGTGGAATTTAGCGACGCGCACATTCGTTTTAAACGTACGCAACAGCTTCACGGATCGAGGGCGGTTCCTTTCCAAAATGTGGCTCTCGCATTCGCGCCTCGCACGTTCGTCCTTACAAACTGTGATTAGTTTCACGGGTTCCCATGGTTCATGTACCAGAAATGGTAATTTGGAACGATTATGGATTGTTAAGGCGCATCAGCTACGTTGATTCGCGGTGTTGAAGTCCCAGGAATGGCGTTCTGGCACGATTCAGGATCGTCAACATGCAACAGTCAAGTTGATTCGTGGCGTTCGATTCCTGAAAAGGTTGTTTTGGTACGCTTCTGGGGTATCACTTGTTCTAGAGAACTAAGGCCTTGTGGGAGTGGGAGCATGTCATAGCCGTTTCGAGGGAGCTGCTGGAGGCTTTCTGGGAGCCTCTGGGGAGTCCAGGAGGCGCTTTGGAGCCTCTGGGGGGCTTTTAGGGGGCTTGCTGGCCGAGGGAGGGGCGGGGGGGGAGCGCTCCAGAGTTGGGGGGCCGTCTTGGGCATGCTCGGCCGTCTTGGGAGTCCCCAGGGCCGACTTAAGGGTCTCTGGGGCCGTCGTAAGGGCTCTCCAGGGAGCTCCCTGGGCGCCCTCCGGACGATTTGGGAGGCTTCTCGGTCGGGCGTGCTTTCGCTGCAGAAGCGACCGCACGAGGAAGTGTCAAATAACCTCGAAAACGTCGATAGTTTGACCTCCCAGTGACCCTCTCGGAGGCCATCTGGGAGTCTGGTGGAATCTGGGGGGGGGCCTTCCCGGGCCGTCTGGGAGCCCTCCTGCGCTGCAGGGGAGCGCTCTGGGGGCTTCCGGGACTCGCGGGGCTCTCCTGCGCCAGGACGGCGTCGTTCCACGAGCAGGGCCGCGAAGGCGCCGCCGCCGCAGGCCTGGCGTGCGCAGTGACTGTGTCTGCTGATCATTGCTTCAGGGTGCGCTGCTTGCTAGGTGAGTCTGAAGACGTCCAGGGCAGCGCTAGCAGTATCAGCGGCAGCAGATCCAAGGACATGGGCAGTAGAAACAGCAGCAGCCCCTCCCCCTCCCCCTCCCCCTCCTCCTCCTCCTCCTCCTCCTCCTCCTCCTCCTCCTCCTCCTCCTCCTCCGCCGCCGCCGCCGCCGCCGCCGCTGCCTCCGCCTCCGCCTCCTCCTCCTCTCTCCTCCTCCTCCTCCTCCTCCTCCTCCTCCCTCCTCCTCCGCCCTTTCTTCATCTTCGTGCTTGGCTCCTCCTCCTCCTCCGCCACCTCCTCCTCCTCCTCCTCCCTCCTCTCCTCCTCCTCCGCCTCCTCCTCCTCCACAACCACCACCTCCTCCTCCTCCTCCGCCTCCTCCTCCTCCAGAGGCCAGTTGTTAGGGCGGGCTGGGCGTTTCGCCTGAGATTTCCACACCATGTATGACCCTGAAGCTTAAAAGTTGGCAGCAGTTTCACATATGGAGGGCGGGTCGTCTTCAAAATGTGGCTCTCGCCTTAGCGCCGCGCGCATTCGTTTTTATGTACAAGAGCTTCACGGATTGAGGGCGGGTCGTTTTCAAAATGTGGCTCTCGCCTTAGCGCCGCGCACATTCGTCTTCAAAGTTGCAAGAGATTCACGGATTGAGGGCGAGTCGTTTTCAAAATGTGGCTCTCGTCTTAGCGCCGCGCACACGGATTGAGGGCGGGTCGTTTTCAAAATGTGGCTATCGCCTTCGCGCCGCGCACCTTCGCTTTAGAAATGTGCAAGGGCTTCACGGATTGAAGGCGGCTCCGTTTCGAAATGCGGTTCTCGCTTTATCGCCGCGCACATCCCTTCATTTACAGGAGAATCACGGATACCAATGATCAGCGTACCAATGTCGTCGTGGAAGGATTCTGGATCACTAGGGCGCAACTGTTACGTTGATTCGCGGTGCTGAAGTCCTGTGAGGGAGCTTGGAGGGAAGGTTTACTCCAACATCGTTAATGACTCTTAGGTTTACTCTGGTCCTCCTCCTCCTCCTCTTCCTCCTCCTCCTCCGCACTTTCTCCATCCACATGCTTGGTTCATCCTCGTCCTCCGCCTCCTCCGCCTCCTCCTCCGCCTTCTCCTCCTCGTCCTTCTCCTCCTCCTCCCACTCCTCCTCCTCCTCCTCCTCTTCCTCCTCCTCCGCCTCAGCCTCCGCCTCAGCCTCCGCCTCCGCCTCCTCCTCCTCTTCCTCATCCCCCTCTTCCTCCTCCTCCTCTTCCTCCTCTTCCTCCTCTTATTAGTATGATTAGTACTAATGTGTTTCGTTGTCGTCTTCTCTTCTTGGCAGTAGTATCATGTTTTGTTTTCGTCTGATTGTAATTACTAATACCAATATACTTTGAATTCGTAGTAGTAGTAGTAGTAGTAGCAGTCGTAGTAGTAGCAGTCGTAGTAGTAGTAGTAGTAGTAGTAGTAGTAGTAGTAGCAGTAGTAGTAGTAGTCGCATTATGAGTCATATTATTAAAATAAGTAATGTTAAAATTATTCGTAGTAGTCTGGTTATCACTAGTACGCTTATGTCTCATGATATAAGTACTAGCCTTATTAACAATAGTACTATGCCTATTCCATGTTGCTGTGATACATCTTCTTCGTCGTTTTAATATTTCCTATTAATAGTACTCTCATGCTTAGCGTTCGTATTATTATATGTCTCCGTGTTATTAGCATTGTGTTATTAGCATTGGCAATATTATCCGTACAATGGTTACTAGTTTTGCGCAAATTCTTCTTCGCCCTCGCCGTCATCCGCATCATCATTAGCATCAGCAGCAGCTGCACCAGCATCAGCAGCATCAGCAGCATGCGCATCAGCGTCAGCATGATCATGATCATCATCAGCATCAGCATCATCAACAGCATCAGCATCATCATCACAATCATCCAAAGTGTCGCCATCATCATCAGCAGCAGCAGCCGCAGCAGCAGAATCCGAATCATGCTCATCATTATCATCGTCATCTGCATCATCATCATCATCATCATCATCATCATCATCATCATCATCATCAACAACATCAGCATCATCATCATCATCAGCATCAGCATCAGCATCAGCATGATCATCAATCATCACCATCATCAGCATCAGCATCATCATCATCATCATCATCATCATCATCATCATCATCATCATCCGTATCATCATTACCATCAGCATCAGCATCATCACCGTCGTAATAATCATAATCATCAGCAGAAGCAGCATCAGTATCGTCGTCGTCAGCATCAGCATCAGCATCAGCATCATCATCCAAATCATCATCGGCATCATCATTATCATCACCATTACCATCATAATCAGCATAACTTCTACGATCAGCATCATCATCATCATCATCATCATCATCATCAGCATCAGCATCAGCATCACCATAATCATCAGCATCAACAGCATCATCATCATCAGCTGTATCATCGTCGTCGTCGCCGTGCGTTGCCTGTCCTCTTCCATCGGCTCTTGCTGCTGCTCCTCCTCCGCCTCCTCCGCCCGCTCTTCCTCCCCGAGGTTGGCTCCTCCTCCTACCCATGCTCCTCCTCATCAGCATCACCATCACCGTAAGCATCATCATCATCATCATCATCATCATCATCACCATAATCATCATCATCATCAGCAGCATCATCATCATCATCATCAGCATCAGCATCGTCATCATCATCATCATCGTCGTCGTCATCACCATCATCATCATCACCACCATCAGCCTCATCATCATAATCAGCATCATCAACATCAACATCATCATCAGCATCATCATCATCATCATCATCATCATCATCATCATCATCATCATCATCATCGTCATCGTCATCGTCATCGGCAGCGTCATCATCAGCATCATCATCGTCAGCAGTATCATCATCAGCGTCAGCAGCATCATCATCAGCATCAGCACCAGCACCACTGATGTCACCCCCATCAATCAGCATAGTCATTATCATCAGCATCGTCATCAACAGCAGCAGCATCAGCATCAGCATCATTGTCATCATCATCACCATCTTTAGCATCAGCACCATCAGCATCCGCAGCATCATCATCATCATCATCATCATCATCATCATCATCATCAGCGTAGCTTCATCATCATCAGCAGCATCAACAGCATCATCATCACCAGCATCATCAGCATCAGCATCACCACCGTCGTAATAACCATCATTACCACCAATCATCATCATCATCAGCATCGTCGTCGTCGGCATCAGCATCAGCATCCGCATCCGCATCAGCATCACAATCATCATCGTCATCATCATCCTCATCAGCATCAGAAGCAACATCACCAAACATCATTATCATCATCAGCATCAGCGTCATCATCATCACCACCATCATCATCATCATCATCATCATCATCATTACCACCACCATCTGATCATCGTCATCATCAGCATTATCATCATCGTCTGAATCATCGTCGCCGTCCTCGTCGTCGGCGTGCGTTGCCTGTCCTCGTCCTTCGGCTCTTGCTGCTGCTCCTCCTCCGCCTCCTCCGCCTCCGCCC